GTGGTCGGCTGGGTGGCCGCGATTCGTATGGGTGAACACGAGGTGGCAGCCATCTTGTTTTGAGGAATGCTTCCAGAGGGGTTTGGTTATCGAGTGCATGGAACTCTTATCAGACACTCGATGGCCCGAACACCGCTGAGACTTCCATCCCCACTTATGTTCGTTTCCATTTATCAGACGAAAGCGGCGTTTGGTGAAACCAAACTCCCGAACGAGGGATACACAGCTAGCCTACTCACTAACAATTCCTTTCGGTATTTCGTTATGTTTCGATAAACAAGACTTCCATAAAACTTTTAAACCCCTGAACCGATCTGGGTGATTTTTAAATATGTTGCTCCCCCAGATTGGGACTATCAGGGGATATAACCTGTGTGGGGGTTATGTGAGGTTTTTGGGGTACATTCGGGTTACCTGCAAATTGTGTTCTTTTTCACCTAGAGATAATTAAAGGGACTCTCGAGGCAGAGGATTTTACTCACCTGGTTCCAGCGCCGAGAGCCTCGTGAAGCCACGCCCCCTATTTCATCAAAATTAAGAAATAGGCAGGCGCGAGCAGGGAGCAACCAGACGTTTCCATTTGAAAGCGTAATTGATCCCTTGTGCGCATGCGCGGCTTCGCCACACATGTGCACATACTTCATAGGGTGGCATTCATGCCGCCCTCTGAAGTCCTGAGTGCACTACCGCGCATGTGCGTTGTAGCGGAACGCCAATATTAAATCCACGAATTCCGCTGGTTCAGGAAGTAATCCACAGTCAAGCGCTGAAAAAAGCAAGGCAATATCCCAAATCTCCCAGTAACCGGACGAAACACAGTTCTGAGAGTCAACTGAGGTCTTTATTTTCAGCTCCACAATTTATACAAGTCCCCATGCAAGGGGTTTCCTGAGTCCCCTCCCAGGGGCATTCCCAGAGTGGACTACATGGGGGACTTACTGTACAAGACATTTCTCCTGTTACGACACGTACCGTCGGGTAAATGAAGCCGCCGTTTAGTCAATAATCCCTTTCTCCAGAAATGCAGTTTAAATCCAGCCGACCGCCAAACTCCCGAACGAAGTCCACGAACACGGCAAACTCCCGATCAGCAAAACAGTCGAACGCCTTCCACAGCTAAAAATAACGAAAGCGCTGTCCCAGTAATAATTCCCCCACAAACGAGACCAAGCTCCGTGTTGAGGGTCAAATGAAGATCTGTTTAATGGGGCTACCTGCCCAGTATTTATGCAGGTCTCCACAAGGTGGACACTCCCCGAGGGGACCTTGTGGAAGACTGTAAAACATATTGAACAGTAGCCAATCGCAGTGGCTTCAATAATAGCTCTTCCCATCTTGCCCATAATTCCGTCCTCTCTACCTCGGAGATAATTAGGAAGAAACCTAATTATCTCCCAAGGTAGAGACAATCGCCATTTTGGAATACAGTAACAAAAATACATTAAAATACATAACGACAGAAATACCGAATGCATATGGTTCGTGTAACGTATCCCCAGACAGCCTGGATCTGAGGGCATGTTTTCACCGAATAGCGCTCAGATCCGATGTATCTAGTCGAATCGCCATGGAGTCAAAGTCTTTCACCAGTCCTTCGGTATACGAATGACTCCATGGGATGGCTGTCGGGGTAAAAGTCCATACGAATGAATAAAACTCCCGAACGACCGACGTTCGCATGCCTTGTCGAAAAGGAAGGTAGGCAGCAGCTTTTCAGCGGTGTTCGGTAGTTTAAGTGTCCGTTTTTAGTTCCATACAGTTTGTACCGAACACCGCTCTGTGTTCGTATGTCCCAAAATGGCCGCTGCCTCGTGGTCGACATGCGAACGACGACCACCCGTACGAATGGAATGGAGAGGTGTCTGCGGTTAACCACAACGTTCTAATTGGGGCCAAGAGGTTAACCAGCAGCACACTCCTCTCCTGGGTGGTCGTTCGTTCGGTAGTTTCAATCGGTAGTTTGCAAATTACACGAACGGGGTTATCTGAACAGGCAATTCAGCGAACAAAGGGAAACAGACGAACCAACAATACAGATGAATCTGTCACATCTCCCATCAGGCACTGCTGCACGAGAGGGATCCTCCCACAGGAATGTACCGTTAAGTGGATTATCCCTCCGTGCAGCAGAACTGACAATTTACATTAAAATCTATAACTTTTCGAATATGCAGTCCATTTAAACGAATGGACGTTCGGTAGATAGCTGGGGTCTGAGCGCATCATTCGTGAGATTACCGCTCAGATCCCAGCTAAAACAACCGAACGCCACACGAAAAACACATTCATTAAAACATAGGTTTAAACTACCGATTGCATTCCAGGGAACAAAATACCGAACGGCCCGGAACTCCCAAACGGCCTGGAAGCTCAGCGGTGTTTGTGCTGTCGAGTAGCTGTTTTTAGTACCATGCGCTCGACGACCAAACACCGCTGAGGGAACAAAGGATCCAAGATGGCCGACCGCCGCATGGTCGGTAGTCGAACGGCGGCCACCTAGGAGAGTCTCTAATTACCGATTGCATCATTGTTGCAATTGGTTAACAAGTGCCACACGCCTCTAAGTGTGTGGGCTACTACATGGGGGTATTTTTGGTTCACGAACGGCCCGCAAAAGTGCCGTTCGTGAAACGAAAGAAAATACACCACATATAGCTATCTGCATTCGGCAGATAGCCAATACAGTAATTACATGTCATTACAGCCAGCATACATTGTACGGAGTTAAACACATATCCCCACCGACATACAGGCAACCCTTAAAGGTACAGTCTCTGGATATTGTCCAAGTGGCTATGTTTGCCACACGCGCAGTGTGAGCGGCCGCGAGCTGAGCTGACTGACAGCTCAGCTCGTGGTCTTTGCCTGTCCCCTCTCCTCTGCTGACAGGCAGGAGAGAGAAGGCGTGCACACAGTGCCTTCCCTCTCCTGCACACGTCAGATATATTTTAACACGTCTGACATGTACAAGGCCTTTTTAGGGCCCTACATGAGGTGATACATACTGCTTCCACTGAGTGATGGCCACTGGAGGTATTCCAATCAATCAATGTAAACACTGTATTTTTTCTGAAAATACAGTGTTTACATTTGATTGCCTGCAGGGAGCTATAGATCTCACCTGAACAACTACATTAAGCTGTAGTTGTTCAGGTGACTATTGTGTCCCTTTAAGTTAGTACAGTATCTGCCTTAATTATCTCTCAGGCAGAAGGGAGGTATTGTATAATTGTAATTGGGAGTGTCATGCATTTGAACACCATTATCATTGGTCTATAACTTTGTCTTGTAAGTTCCCCACAAGGTCCATGTGGGAATACCCCTTGCACGGGGAATTGCATAAAAGGCCAGTGTGGCTACCAATAAATCATTCCTTGATTACCCTCATCATAGTCTCAACTCATGATTCTAGGGACCAGCTATACCTGTTATAATCACCCAGCTCTTCCAAGAGCTATACTATCCTGGGAATTCAGAAAGCATCTCTCTGAACAGGGGAAAAGAATGGCTCAGGCGGTGAAACCCTCTGGGGTAAGCCGCCACAGGTACTAAAAATGGAGTGACGGGGGGGGGCGGGAAGGTGATAGTTATAAAGTTATTAATAACGTGGTGATATAGGGAGATAGTTATAAAGTTACTAATAACGGGGTGACAGGGTGTGATATAAAGTTACTAATAATGGGGTGACGGGGTGTGATATAAAGTTACTAATAATGGGGTGACGGAGGGGTGATAGTTATAAAGTTACTAATAATGGGGTGACGTGGGGTGATAGTTATAAAGTTATTAATAATGGGGTGACGGAGGGGTGATAGTTATAAAGTTACTAATAATGGGGTGACGTGGGGTGATAGTTATAAAGTTACTAATAACGGGGTGACAGGGTGTGATATAAAGTTACTAATAATGGGGTGACGGGGGGTGATAGTTATAAAGTTATTAATAATGGGGTGACGTGGGGTGATTGTTATAAAGTTACTAATAATGGGGTGACGTGGGGTGATAGTTATAAAGTTATTAATAACGGGGTGACTGGGGTGTGATATAAAGTTACTAATAATGGGGTGACGGGGGTGATAGTGATAAAGTTACTAATAATGGGGTGACAGGGGTGATAGTTATAAAGTTACTAATAACGGGGTGACAGGGTGTGATATAAAGTTACTAATAATGGGGTGACGGGCGGTGATAGTGATAAAGTTATTAATAATGGGGTGATGTGGGGTGATAGTTATAAAGTTACTAATAATGGGGTGACGTGGGGTGATAGTTATAAAGTTACTAATAACGGGGTGACAGGGTGTTATATAAAGTTACTAATAATGGGGTGACTGGGGGTGATAGTTATAAAGTTACTAATAATGGGGTGATGTGGGGTGATAGTTATAAAGTTACTAATAACGGGGTGACAGGGTGTTATATAAAGTTACTAATAACGGGGTGACAGGGTGTTATATAAAGTTACTAATAATGGGGTGACTGGGGGTGATAGTTATAAAGTTATTAATAATGGGGTGACTGGGGGTGATAGTTATAAAGTTACTAATAATGGGGTGATGTGGGGTGATAGTTATAAAGTTACTAATAACGGGGTGACAGGGTGTTATATAAAGTTACTAATAATTAGGGGGGGGCTGGGGTGATAGTTATAAAGTTATTAATAATGGGGTGACTGGGGGTGATAGTTATAAAGTTACTAATAATGGGGTGATGTGGGGTGATAGTTATAAAGTTACTAATAATGGGGTGACAGGTTGTATTATTTAAAAAGTTCTTAATAACTATATAGCTGTACTACACAGTAACTCTCTGTATGGCTGTAATATATTTACATATTCTCTCTGGAGTAATAATCATTAATAATAATTGGGACCTGCAGATGTTCCCCTGTCTGTGTCTTATCCTGGCATGTTGCACAGGCAGGTGTTTTGTTGGAGGGAAGGGTTAATTTGGGAGGGGCATGGGGTGGAATATGGAGAGAGGAAGCCTTCTGGCTGCAAGTCTGAACCAGCTCCCAGCTCAGCCAGGAGGACTCACTGCTCTCCTACACCCAGAGCTCTGCCTGGCAGCCAGGGTATGTGGCAGGATCATGGCAGCACCAAGAATCCCTGCTACCTGCAGGAGGGCAATGGACATCTGAGAGCAAAGAGCAGCAAGTGGTGAGTAGACACACTGTAACAATATTCTGGGACACACTGACAGTAATAGAGTGTACACACTGTAACAATATTCTGGGACCCACTGACAGTAATAGAGTGTAGACACAATGTAACAATATTCTGGGACACACTGACAGTAATAGAGTGTAGACACAATGTAACAATATTCTGGGACACACTGACAGTAATAGAGTGTAGACATGATGTAACAATATTCTGGGACACACTGACAGTAATAGAGTGTAGACACACTGTAACAATATTATGGGACACACTGACAGTAATAGAGTGTAGACACAGTGTAACAATATTCTGGGACACACTGACAGTAATAGAGTGTAGACACACTGTAACAATATTCTGGCACACACTGACAGTAATAGAGTGTAGACACAGTGTAACAATATTCTGGGACACACTGACAGTAATAGAGTGTAGACACAATGTAACAATATTCTGGGACACACTGACAGTAATAGAGTGTAGACACAATGTAACAATATTCTGGGACACACTGACAGTAATAGAATGTGACACACTGTAACAATATTCTGGGACACACTGACAGTAATAGAGTGTAGACACAATGTAACAATATTCTGGGACACACTGACAGTAATAGAATGTAGACACAATGTAACAATATTCTGGGACACACTGACAATAATAGAGTGTAGACACACTGTAACAATATTCTGGGACCCACTGACAGTAATAGAGTGTAGACACAATGTAACAATATTCTGGGACACACTGACAGTAATAGAGTGTAGACACAATGTAACAATATTCTGGGACACACTGACAGTAATAGAATGTGACACACTGTAACAATATTCTGGGACACACTGACAGTAATAGAGTGTAGACACGATGTAACAATATTCTGGGACACACTGACAGTAATAGAGTGTAGACACACTGTAACAATATTCTGGGACACACTGACAGTAATAGAGTGTAGACACAATGTAACAATATTCTGGGACACACTGACAGTAATAGAATGTAGACACAATGTAACAATATACTGGGACACACTGACAGTAATAGAGTGTAGACACACTGTAACAATATTCTGGGACACACTGACAGTAATAGAATGTAGACACAATGTAACAATATACTGGGACACACTGACAGTAATAGAGTGTACACACTGTAACAATATTCTGGGACACACTGACAGTAATAGAATGTAGACACAATGTAACAATATTCTGGGACACACTGACAGTAATAGAGTGTAGACACACTGTAACAATATTCTGGGACCCACTGACAGTAATAGAGTGTAGACACACTGTAACAATAGTCTGGGACACACTGACAGTAATAGAGTGTAGACACACTGTAACAATATTCTGGGACACACTGACAGTAATAGAGTGTAGACACACTGTAACAATATTCTGGGACACACTGACAGTAATAGAGTGTAGACACACTGTAACAATATTCTGGGACACACTGACAGTAATAGAGTGTAGACACACTGTAACAATATTCTGGGACACACTGACAGTAATAGAGTGTAGACACAATGTAACAATATTCTGGGACACACTGACAGTAATAGAATGTAGACACAATGTAACAATATTCTGGGACACACTGACAGTAATAGAGTGTAGACACACTGTAACAATATTCTGGGACACACTGACAGTAATAGAGTGTAGACACAATGTAACAATATACTGGGACACACTGACAGTAATAGAATGTAGACACAATGTAACAATATTCTGGGACACACTGATAGTAATAGAGTGTAGACACACTGTAACAATATTCTGGGACACACTGACAGTAATAGAGTGTAGACACACTGTAACAATATTCTGGGACACACTGACAGTAATAGAGTGTAGACACAATGTAACAATATTCTGGGACACACTGACAGTAATAGAGTGTAGACACAATGTAACAATATTCTGGGACACACTGACAGTAATAGAATGTAGACACAATGTAACCATCTAAATTCTAACCCTAACTGTAATCAAAACACTATTCCGTATTGCAGGTTTTATTGCTGATGTAGAAATAATTGTAACTGTAGCTATAAATCTTAGACAAACTTGAATACAAATTCTAACCTTAGTTGTAACTCTGACAGCAACCCCTAACCCATTGTTTGTGGTAAACTGATATACACTCCAAGTCTTTTTGAAAATTGTCATTATGTTAGCCATCACTGCTCCCACTGGAAGACTGTTCCAGGTGTCTACTACCCATTCTATATCACTGTTACCGCTCCCACTTGAAGGCTATTCCAGGTATCTACTACCCCTTTTATATCACTGCTTCTGCCTCCCACTGAAAGTCTATTCCAGGTATCAACTACCCTTTCTATATCACTGTTTCCCCTTACAGTTTCCACTGGAAGGCTATTACAGGTATCTAGTACCTTTTCTATATCACTGTTACTGCCCCCAATGGAAGGCTATTCCAGGTATATTTTTCTATATCACTGTTACTGCTTCCACTGGAAGGCTATTCCAGGTATCTACTACCCTTTCTATATAACTGTTACTGCTCCCACTGGAAGGCTATTCCATGTATCTACTACCCTTTCTATATCACTGTTACTGCTCCCACTGGAAGGCTATTCCAGGTATCTACTACCCCTTTCTATATCACCGTTACTGCCCCCACTGGAAGGCTATTCCAGGTATCTACTACCCCTTTCTTTATCACTGTTACTGCCCCCACTGGAAGGCTATTCCAGGTATATTTTTCTATGTCACTGTTACCGCTCCCACTGGTAGGCTATTCCAGGTATCTAATACCCTTTCTATATCACTGTTACTGCTCCCACTGGAAGGCTATTCCATGTATCTACTACCCTTTCTATATCACTGTTACTGCTCCCACTGAAAGGCTATTCCAGGTATCTACTACCCTTTCTATATCACTGTTACCGCTCCCACTGGAAGGCTATTCCAGGTATCTACTACCCTTTCTATATCACTGTTACTGCTCTCACTGGAAGGCTATTCTAGGTATCTATTACACTTCCTATATCACTGTTACTGCTCCCACTGGAAGTCTATTCAATGTATCTACTATCCTTTCTATATCACTGTTACTGCTCCCACTGGAAGGCTATTCCAGGTATCTACTACCCTTTCCATTTGTTACCGCTCCTACTGGAAGGCTATTACAGGTATCTAGTACCTTTTCTATATCACTGTTACTGCTCCCACTGGAAGTCTATTCAATGCATCTACTACCCTTTCTATATCAGTGTTACTGCTTCCACTGGAAGGCTATTCCAGGTATCTACTATCCTTTCTATATCACTGTTACTGCTCCCACTGGAAGGCTATTCCAGGTATCTACTACCCTTTCCATTTGTTACTGCTCCTACTGGAAGGCTATTACAGGTATCTAGTACCTTTTCTATATCACTGTTACTGCCCCCAATGGAAGGCTATTCCAGGTATATTTTTCTATATCACTGTTACTGCTTCCACTGGAAGGCTATTCCAGGTATCTACTACCCTTTCTATATCAGTGTTACTGCTCCCACTGGAAGGCTATTCCAGGTATCTACTACCCTTTCTATATCACTGTTACTGCTCCCACTGGAAGTCTATTCAATATATCTACTACCCTTTCTATATCAGTGTTACTGCTTCCACTGGAAGGCTATTCCAGGTATCTACTATCCTTTCTATATCACTGTTACTGCTCCCACTGGAAGGCTATTCCAGGTATCTACTACCCTTTCCATTTGTTACCGCTCCTACTGGAAGGCTATTACAGGTATCTAGTACCTTTTCTATATCACTGTTACTGCTCCCACTGGAAGTCTATTCAATGCATCTACTACCCTTTCTATATCAGTGTTACTGCTTCCACTGGAAGGCTATTCCAGGTATCTACTATCCTTTCTATATCACTGTTACTGCTCCCACTGGAAGGCTATTCCAGGTATCTACTACCCTTTCCATTTGTTACCGCTCCTACTGGAAGGCTATTACAGGTATCTAGTACTTTTTCTATATCACTGTTACCGCTCCCACTGGAAGGCTATTACAGGTATCTACTATCCTTTCTATATCACTGTTACTGCTCCCACTGGAAGGCTATTCCAGGGATCTAATACCCTTTCTATATCACTGTTAATGCTCCCACTGGAAGGCTATCCCAGGTATCTACTACCCTTTCTATATCACTGTTACTGCTCCCACTGGAAGGCTATTCCAGGTATCTACTACCCTTTCTATATCACTGTTACTGCTCCTACTGGAAGGCTATTCCAGGTATCTACTACCCTTTCCATTTGTTACCGCTCCTACTGGAAGGCTATTACAGGTATCTAGTACCTTTTCTATATCACTGTTACTGCTCCCACTGGAAGTCTATTCAATGTATCTACTACCCTTTCTATATCAGTGTTACTGCTTCCACTGGAAGGCTATTCCAGGTATCTACTATCCTTTCTATATCACTGTTACTGCTCCCACTGGAAGGCTATTCCAGGTATCTACTACCCTTTCCATTTGTTACTGCTCCTACTGGAAGGCTATTACAGGTATCTAGTACCTTTTCTATATCACTGTTACTGCCCCCACTGGAAGGCTATTCCAGGTATATTTTTCTATATCACTGTTACTGCTTCCACTGGAAGGCTATTCCAGGTATCTACTACCCTTTCTATATCAGTGTTACTGCTCCCACTGGAAGGCTATTCCAGGTATCTACTACCCTTCCTATATCACTGTTACTGCTCCCACTGGAAGTCTATTCAATATATCTACTACCCTTTCTATATCAGTGTTACTGCTTCCACTGGAAGGCTATTCCAGGTATCTACTATCCTTTCTATATCACTGTTACTGCTCCCACTGGAAGGCTATTCCAGGTATCTACTACCCTTTCTATATCACTGTTACTGCTCCTACTGGAAGGCTATTCCAGGTATCTACTACCCTTTCCATTTGTTACCGCTCCCACTGGAAGGCTATTCCAGGTATCTACTACCCTTTCCATTTGTTACCGCTCCTACTGGAAGGCTATTACAGGTATCTAGTACCTTTTCTATATCACTGTTACCGCTCCCACTGGAAGGCTATTCCAGGTATCTACTGCCCTTTCTATATCACTGTTACTGCTCCCACTGGAAGGCTATTCCAGGGATCTAATACCCTTTCTATATCACTGTTAATGCTCCCACTGGAAGGCTATCCCAGGTATCTACTACCCTTTCTATATCACTGTTACTGCTCCCACTGGAAGGCTATTCCAGGTATCTACTACCCTTTCTATATCACTGTTACTGCTCCCAACTAGAAAACTGTTCCAGGTATCTACTACCCTTTCTATATCACTGTTACTGCTCCCACTGGAAGGCTATTCCAGGTACCTACTACCCTTTCTATATCACTGTTACTGCTCCCACTGGAAGGCTATTCCAGGTATCTATTACCCTTTCTATATCACTGTTACCGCTCCCACTGGAAGGCTATTCCAGGTATCTACTACCCTTTCTATATCACTGTTACTGCTCCCACTGGAAGGCTATTCCAGGTATCTACTACCCTTTCTATATCACTGTTATTGCTCCCACTGGAAGGCTATTCCAGGTATCTACTACCCTTTCTATATCACTGTTACTGCTCCCACTGGAAGGCTATTCCAGGTATCTACTACCCTTTCTATATCACTGTTACTGCTCCCACTGGAAGACTATTCCAGGTATCTACTACCCTTTCTATATCACTGTTACTGCTCCCACTGGAAGGCTATTCCATGTATCTACTACCCTTTCTATATCACTGTTACTGCTCCCACTGGAAGGCTATTCCAGGTATCTACTACCCTTTCTATATCACTGTTACTGCTCCCACTGGAAGACTATCCCAGGTATCTACTACCATTTCTATATCACTGTTACTGCTCCCACTGGAAGGCTATTCCAGGTACCTACTACCCTTTCTATATCACTGTTACTGCTCCCACTGGAAGGCTATTCCAGGTATCTACTACCCTTTCTATATCACTGTTTGCTTTTACTGCTTCAATTGGAAGGACATTCCAGGTATCTATTACCCATTCTATAATGTAATATTTTCTTATTCTTCCATCCTCTAGCTTCCAATCCTGCTCTATTGCTAGGTATGTTCTGCATTAGACATGGCTCTGGTAGCTGTGTGCATGGTTACCTTCGCCGTATATCTGCACAATGAGCTCTGGGTGGATAGAACCCAGTTATTCCCCGTACCAACCTTGGATCCGACCTTTTCCTAATGGGGAGTTTGTCTGTGTCAGAAACCCAATGGCTGAAATACACAAAGAATGATCAAAAATCTAGATTAAATGTTTCCTTTCTCAGTGTGAATGGCAAGGGTTAGGGTTAAGGACTATATTATATGCTAATATAACCCTGTAAATACCTCAACTCAGAGTCCACATAAACATAACGAACTTACAGCACGGGGTGCACTGCCGTACAGTAAGTAGCCGTGATCCATAGAATGCACATTGAGAGGAAATTCTCTTTGTTCTTTCAGCTGCTTTCTCCAAAAAATGAATGGAGGGCAATAGGAATCACGTTTTACTGACAAACTGAACTCCTGAGAGAGGTCGAAATATGGGCCGAAACATGGGTCAAAACATGGGCACAATGGCATCTCTTTATAAACGTATTCGATATAACATTGTATCAATTATTTAACCAGACGTCATTGATTGGAGATCTCTCTGTCTGTGGGCTATGAAGGTTTCCGTTTTATTTAATACTTTGCTGAGTTTCGGGTTTTCTTTTCATACGAGATGTATTTCTCACCGAGGTTCGAGTGCTGGAGTAATAGGGGCTGGATGTGGTTTATTGTAATACATATATATATGATTCCAATTAAAGCTAACAATGTGTATATAATGGGTTAAAACACTATTATGATATATTACACTATACAATACATTGTCGACATTAACACACACAATGGATGTTTGCGCAATCAATGCCTGGACTTGCTCCTAAGGGCGCCATATTCTGTTCTAACTGCAGGCGTGGGAGAGCAAGTTGTGTTTATCATATTGCTGCGTGTCTGTTGTTTATTATGGTGCTTCATGTTTTTGTCGGTTCTTTTCTTCCTCGCAGGATGCTCTGTGCACGTCAGGATGAACCACTGTTATTATGACAAACGCATGGACTTCTTCTACAATCTAAGCAACTCCCAGATGGAACATGACTGGTCCGGGACCAAACTCATTCTCATGTTGTCCTTTGGCGCCTGCTGCTGTTTTTTCATTTTTGTCTCGAACTTGTTGGTTATTGCAGCTGTGATTAAAAACAAACGTTTCCACTTTCCCTTCTATTACCTGCTCGCCAACTTAGCTGCCGCAGACTTTTTTGCGGGGATTGCTTACGTGTTCCTTATGTTTCACACGGGCCCTGTTTCCAAAACACTAACCGTTCATCGGTGGTTCTTACGTCAAGGCCTCTTAGACACAAGCATGTCGGCCTCTTTAACCAGTTTGTTGATAATTGCTGTGGAGCGACATATGTGTATAGTGCGAATGAGAATTCACAGCAATCTGACCAAAAGAAGGGTGACCTGCCTCATTTTCTTCATTTGGGCAACTGCAATTTTTATGGGGGCTCTACCTACCCTTGGGTGGAATTGCATCTGCAACATAACAACTTGCTCCACCCTCGCCCCCATTTACAGCAGGAGTTATCTGACCTTTTGGGCCGTGTCTAACTTGGTGGCCTTCTTCATTATGGCCATTGTCTACCTGAGAATCTATATGTATGTCCAGAGGAAGACCAATGTTCTATCTCCACACACCACTGGCTCGATCAGTCGGAAGAGGACACCCATCAAATTAATGAAGACAGTCATGGCTGTGTTAGGTAAGACATTCAGCTTCCAGCCAATGACAAATTCCCAGAGAGGTGGCTTTTGGGTTGTCATCGAACCAGAGGGCTAAGAGTTTGTACAATTAACAAAATCCAAAAAAACTGGCCATTGAAAATCTGGCATGTAGTCCCCAATACCGATCGGGAACATTCCCGGTGACACTTTTCAGACTATGTAATCCATACCATGTTAGTTCTGCTGATCCGTGTGTGCTGTACCAGCCATTTAGTTCTGGATTTCAGAAGTCGTTTCTGTCAGTTCATTGGCTGCACTAACCTACCTGTCGATAATGTTCTTTCAGATGACCATCCCAAATTTGTCCTTGGCTTTTCAGTGTTTTTAACTATTTATTAATGAGTTCTGGGGTTATTTATTAACATAGCTCTATTAGTGAGTAATCTCCATGGGAACTGCTGGATTCTTCTGGGGGTAGGGATCGGTGATGCCATCATATTATTACAATATTGTTAGTGTTAGCGTTGGGTTAGTTCCTCTGGGGGTAGGGATCGGTGATGCCATCATATTATTACAATATGGTTAGTGTTAGCGTTGGGTTAGTTCCTCTGGGGGTAGGGATCGGTGATGCCATCATATTATTACAATATCGTTAGTGTTTGCGTTGGGTTAGTTCCTCTGGGGGTAGGGATCGGTGATGCCATCATATTATTACAATATCGTTAGTGTTTGCGTTGGGTTGGTTCCTTTGGGGGTAGGGATCGGTGATGCCATCATATTATTACAATATCGTTAGTGTTTGCGTTGGTTTGGTTCCTCTGGGGGTAGGGATCGGTGATACCATCATATTATTACAATATTGTTAGTGTTTGCGTTGGTTTGGTTCCTCTGGGGGTAGGGATCGGTGATGCCATCATATTATTACAATATCGTTAGTGTTAGCGTTGGGTTGGTTCCTCTGGGGTAGGGATCGGTGATGCCATCATATTATTACAATATCGTTAGTGTTTGCGTTGGGTTGGTTCCTCTGGGGGTAGGGATCGGTGATGCCATCATATTAATAAAATATTGTTAGTGTTAGCGGACTGTTTAGGGTTGGGTACAATCTATTAAACCAAATGGGCATGATTCGGGTTAAACATAGCACAAAACCGTAAATAAAATGTCAGAATTGAGTAACGATAACGTTAACGTTAACCTTATTTATAGTACAGAACCTGCCGTTTATTTCTTGGTTAGTAATTGGTTATTGCCTGTGATTTCCTGATTGCTTGCCCTATAAGCCCTTTTTTCTTTATTTATTATGTGTTTTTGTTAAACCTTGTGTTGTATTTAATTATTGTTTATTTTTTGGTTGTGTAACTTTATTCACTATTTTAATCTTTAGACCATAAAGTCCCATTTGTTTCATAGTTGGGTTTTGCCCAGATAATGAAACGTATTTAGCTATCTGTGTGGTGGGTCACGTGGCTGTAAGATGGTATGAACGTACTCCGTACACTGCAGAGGTTCTTTGCAGGCTGCTATAACCTGTTTGGTAGCAAGGTTGGAACTGTGATTTCCTCGCCATATGTGGGCGTCATCCAAACATGACAACAATTTAAATTCAGATGGAATGTTTAGAAAGATACAATAATGCCTCTGGACTTCTTGCAAGTTCACTATAAGCAGTATTTTGACATTTTTTTAAATTAGTCACACCTATTAAGTGTGACATAAGAGTTATGCTGTGATACGCCTCATATTTCAAATCAGTGTTATAGTGCAAACAAGCTGGCAACGAAGGGGTTAATCTCCATTTATCTTCAATCCTGCACAATAATACAATAACGTCTTTTACTGGCCACATTTCCCAGGACAAACTAGCAGTAAATGTAAAAACATGTTTTCGGGGCAGACCCCTTTATCTGTGCTCGTAGATCATCAATTATGTAAGAATTTCTAAAGGGTTTGATGAAGGCTGGGGAAGGTTTATTTATTATTTAGCAGTTTGCTTTCAGGACTCGAGAACAAAGCAGCGAAACTCTTCAAACAGTATGTACTTAGCACATAATTAAAACCCGTGTGTAAGAATGGTGGTGGATAAACTGAGAGCAGCCAATTTAGAGCCAGTGCTTCAGCTTTATCAAATTCAAAGGAAAGAATTGGTTTTCGTTTACATTTTATAATTCTTCTCTCCTGCTTGTTAATTGCCTGCTAGAGTCTGCAGCAGCCTCCTGTATGGAATTAAAGTTCAATTAAGAGAGGAGATAAAACATTTCTATAGTAAACACACTGAGTTGTAAAAACCTCCCAAATGGCAGAGAATTGAGCAGTGAGACTGAAGGGGTAATGTTCTGTACAATAAAACTGCTTCATTAAGCTAAAGTTGTTTTAGTGTTTAAAGTGTCTATTTAACTGGACAGAGTATAAAATCCAGTTTTTCAGAGAGACACTTCCATGGGTACTAGGAGAAGCGTTTCAGCAGAAAAGCAGAAAGCGTTTCAGCAGCACTCTCTGCATGGTCCAGTATGTTGGGCACTGTCCAGGATGTTATCTCTAAAACATGCCAGGCTGGAACGCCCCTTCAATGCACAAGCCAGTCCACTTTCCAAGCAGTCACGCCCATTATAAAAAATCCCTACCTCTCAGCTTCCTAAGGCGTAGGCAGAGTCCTGAGATGACGTTAGCCCCATCCCTAATGATGCCCCCACAATGGATGGGTCATACAAAAAGGGATAGTCTCATCTGATAGGCAGCCTGGCCCATCAGATGATTACGTGTCTGCGCTATGTCTGCATGAAGACCCATATTACGTGTCTGCGCTATGTGTGCGTGAAGACCCATATTACGTGTCTGAGCTATGTCTGCGTGAAGACCCATATTACGTGTCTGAGCTATGTCTGCGTGAAGACCCATATTACGTGTCTGCGCTATGTCTGTGTGAAGACCCATATTACGTGTCTGAGCTATGTCTGCGTGAAGACCCATATTACGTGTCTGAGCTATGTCTGCGTGAAGACCCATGTTACGTGTCTGAGCTATGTCTGCGTGAAGACCCATATTGCGTGTCTGAGCTATGTCTGCGTGAAGACCCATATTACGTGTCTGAGCTATGTCTGCGTGAAGACCCATATTACGTGTCTGAGCTATGTCTGCGTGAAGACCCATATTACGTGTCTGCGCTATGTCTGCGTGAAGACCCATATTACGTGTCTGAGCTATGTCTGCGTGAATACCCATATTACGTGTCTGAGCTATGTCTGCGTGAAGACCCATATTACGTGTCTGAGCTATGTCTGCGTGAAGACCCATATTACGTGTCTGCGCTATGTCTGCGTGAAGACCCATATTACGTGTGCACACTGGGTTGTCTGATATAAAAACCCCAAACATAGAAAGCCATCTTTCCGTTCTGCACTTTGTGGGTGTTTTGCAGCAGACATGTGGAAACGTTGACACATTCATAGTATATTTTATGTGATCTAAACATGCACGGTAGAGGGAGTACATACAGACATCTGCCGTATATTTACCGAGAGCGACGATAACATATTTCACATTACATAAATATTTACTGTCCGATACCAAACATTCGTTTTAGATGTGTTGGCGTTTGGGCTTTGTTCTCTAAAGATCGGATGTCATTATGGGATCAGGACAGCAATGTCTGGACATGGGTCACAAAATTTATCAACGTCTAGATTTCGCAAAACTGTATTTGAATGGCTAAATCTAAGACAGGAGTTTTATAATGAATATCCATATTATTAATCTGTATTATTTGCCAGAGCTTGGCAGCACAAAGGTTAATAAATGGCAGAGGTGACATACGATACCCTGTCCTGACATATCCAATAAATGGGGAGCTATTAGTAGTGAGATGGGGTATTAATAGGAATATGCCCAATGTTTAGGAATAATGAGCCACCATGAAGTAAAACTGCACACACCTCATTGGCTCCAATGTTTTATTTTCATATATCAATAGCCGGCCAGCTGCCATTTTACTTAACCTGAGATTTTTTTTGTATTTAAAGGGACACCCCATTGCGAAGCACAAAATAAATAAAAATGACTTTTTAGTAAATATAGACCAAACAAACTTGCCTGCATTTCATTCTACATGTTTCCATTGTGGGTACATCTAAAAGAGCTTGTAGAAGTTGCAGATCGCCATCTCTTTCTAGCCCCGCCCAGACTTTCTGTGGCTGTCCAATCACAGGCTTCCCACTGCAACTCAATGAGAAGTCTTTGCAAGGCAGGAGCTCTGGGCAATTGCTGCCTCTTGAGTTTAGCTCCACAGAGCTAACCAAACCAGGAAGTAACAGGACCGGCTGTCTGACTGACAGCCAGGAGGGAATGTAACAAGGTTAATTTATAAAAATAGAAATTGTTATTGAAATTTGCTTGTATTGCTAAATGGGGAAAAAAGAGGACACACTCTTTACACATTAAGATTTTTTGCAAGCTAAACTGTTTTAGGGATCTAGAGAGTCCCTTTAACTATTTACCAGCCGACTTCCATGGCTGTGGGCTAACAGTCCAGATTTAAGA